TTTCTTCAAAATTTGTGTTTTTTATAAAAAAAAAATTGGGATAAGATTTAATTGAAAATGTTAAAAAAACAAATTTTATGAGATTTTTTTAAAATTTAAAAGAGACATTAAAACAGTTCAGAGATTAGATATTAATTTTTTTCATTTGGTGAGGCATGACCACCCTCGAAAGTGAGCATAATTCATTTTTCTTCCGCTTCTCTTCATGAGTCGCACGTGACTTTGACACGCTCGTATGAACTCTTCAATAATGAAGCTAGACAATGTATTCGGAGTCAAAGTTAGAATAAAATTTTTCAAGGGATAAATAAAAATTCAATATTTATTAATTTTTACTTTTTCAACTTGGTCATGCATCATGCCCTTGGCATAGCTAGTGACTAGTGAGAGTAGTTTGTGGTGTTTCAATTGTGTAGTTTTCATCCTTTGCAACAGGAAAAGGTTCAGATAAACTAAACTGCCATTATCAACTTTACGTCATATTGGCCATAGAACTTGGCTTCCAGTGCTTTGGATCTTAGGCATGCTTCTAATTATTTGCATTAGTTCATGAGATTGAGTCGACCCCCGACGCTAGACGGCAGAACCAACTGAATTTGTAGTGATTTTACAATTCCAATCAATAAATAAATTCAGCACTGAAAAACTCTAGTAAAATACTTGAAATGACATTTTCTTCCAAATCGGAAGATGGAATATCAACATGTCATAGTCTTTTGTTCAAGGCTGATTGTACAGGATTCACAGAAGCAGAAACAGAACAAGAATCCTCAAATGGCTCTATTTCCCCAAGGAGAAACCCTTTCTGGGCTTTGTATTATTGCAGGTTTCATCCCATTGAACCTAAAATGACAAATAGTTGGTAAGAACTACTATCATAAACAAACAAACAAGAAACTACTTCAAATAACTAATTCAAGACTATATTTTTCAACCTTCAAGGATTGCCATTTAGATTCCGGCCAATGTGAAGAAATATCTTCCTCCCTAACTATAGTACATATGAACCTGCTTTTAGAAAAGAAATCCCAGTAGATGTAAAAGGAAGAGAAAAAACAGAAGATAATTTTTCGACAATATATAGAGACAATTGTACTTTCTTTCAGAAGAGTCTTCTCCCTCAAATCTCATCTTGAAACGCATTCCAAAAGAGAACATTGTCAATAGCCTACTTATTTACTCCTATTATGAACTGACTTGTCCTTAACAAGAGCAATGGGGAAAAACATGAGTTTCGAATAACCGGGATAATGAAACTGGTACTCTCAAGTGTCGATCATGTTTGTATGAAGAGGTAACGTAAACCTTGGTTTGTAGTACACAACAAAAGAGGGTTTGAGTTGCAACAGCATGAGCAACAGTAGCAAGCACTCCTAAATTCTTACACTTGGGATGGTACCGAATGATCCTATAAGTTGCTGCATCATAAAGCATACGAGACAACACATTCATAGTCAAGACAAGCAGATAGGGTAACCGAGAGCCGAGTGATGCAATTACGAACCCATGGTAATCAAACAATATCCTTGTTGTTTTCAATTAAATACTTCTTAAATCCATCTTAAATTCAAATTTAAACAAATTAAACTATAACTCTCAATTTTTAAATTTTAACATAACAATTAGACTTTGACCTATTCTCATTACTATTTATATTTGTCTCTTAATCTATCATTTTAGGCCCCATCCCTAGCGCTAGTGAGTTTGTTTTGATATTTCGTTTTGAATTTATCTAAATCTTAAACCGTAAATTCAAATTAATAAATATATTTTGTTTTTAAATGTAACTGTAAAAATAAAATAGTTAAGAGAGTAAAGAATAAAAAATAATTGAAAATATTAAAATCTTATATCAAAGGATATGGGTCAATACGCATTATTACAAATCAATATTGATCAAAATAGGTCGAAAGACAACGAAATGATTAAGACACGTTAAAATTTAAGCCAAGATTATACTCAGGAATGAGCTCTGTGGGGTCGATCCATGTTAAAATTTATATATTATATATAATTTTCATTTAATAATATTTTGGTTTATGTAAAAATAAATATATAAATATAAAAAAAATATAAAAATTTATTAAATTTTTAATCAATTAGGGGTCGAACTAAAGAATAATAAGTCTGTGTTATCAAATTTTTTGTTCAATTACAATTTAAGTCATTGTAAGTTTAAATATTAGATAAATTAGAAGTTATTTTTTGAGTTTTGAGGTTTTTTTTTTAATTTAGGGTAAATACAAGGTAATATCTGTATAAAGACTTTCAACTATTTTACAATGAACGCTCATAGACCTATATACATGCTTGAACTCAAGACCTCAAGGATAACAACAATCCCTTAAACACTAAGGTCGCTTGTCTGAATTTCGAGTTTAAATACTTAATAGACCTTTATATTTTTCTTAAATAGTCTAATATTTCGACCCCTACTAATATTTAATTATGTCTCTGTCTCTGATTATACTTTAATTACTTTGTATGGTTTTAAGACTGATACGACTGATATAGACCTCTATAATCGGTACCCATACAATAATAAATATTATGGTTTCACCTAACTCGTACAAACGAGATGAAAGTATCTGTGAGGCGAGAGCCCTCTGTGTATAGTTTTATACAGTGATTTCTGGGAGGGGAAAAAATGCACGAATCCAGATTCAAAGGAACTCTCCAACAGGGAAAGGGGGGGGGATTTGACTTTGCATGAGTTTGGAAGTTTAGGGTTTAGTGTTAGTAAGATGTTCAAGTATTTCGTTGGTGAGATGCTGAATTCTTCGTACTATTTTCCAATTGTTACATCAAAACATGACAATAAAAAATTAGCTGAACTTATTCCCAAATGTAATGGGGTAAGGGGAGATAGGATAGTAGGTTGTGCCTCCAACGCCAGGTTGAGAGTAGTTTCCGTGGGAGACCTCCGGCAGTCAGAATTATGAATTGCCTACCGTGGGACTCAATCCCACGATCACAAGGTTAAAAGCCTTGCGCTCTTACCAACTAAGCTGGACGGACAATTCCAAAACATGACAATCTTAAATATATATATTAAAAAATTCACTGAAGATAAAATTTGGGATATTATAAAACATACAACGAAGGAATCATAATAGACCAATCAACAAACCACATTATCTTATAACTTGCACCAATCACGTTGACAAGTAAGTATATATATGGGTTTTGGGCCATATATTTAGGTCATTTTCAATTAATTTATTTTGATAATTAAATGATCATCTTCATGTGTTGCATTGGAGGCTGTAAGTGCTTAGAGTCTTGTCGGTGCTCTAAAAGCTTCCAAAAGAAGAAGAAGAAGAAGATTATCATGTGCATATAATAGCACGAATCTGAGCCTGATCATTAACGAAGAAAACAGAACAAGAGTATATGGTTCTTTGGGTTAATGGCATTTTTGGACGCTTCAATCATTCTTCTTCTGATTTCATTAATTAAATAATAATATAGGTGATCAATTGCTTTATTCAAGATTCCTTGTGCTCTCTCCTTTTTTGACCTCTGCGTTATGAGCAACTGATGGTAAAGTTGTTTCTATTTTGAGAGAGTATTGTCTCTAACTTTATAGTTCTTAATTATTTGTAATCTAAATGTTTTCAATATCAAACAAGTATCATAAGATAGACCAAGAGATATTAGAGGTGCAGTCGCGACCCTTAGAAATTTTAACATTTTTTCTTTATATTTTCTATCGAGTATATAATTTTACACCCTAAAATTTTTAATATATCTTCTTATATTCACACCTCTGACATAAATTATTACAATCGTCCTGAATATCAACCATAATAACAACTAATATATAAATTTGAGGATTTTTTGAATGAGTGAGAGCATAAGTTCCACAAGTGTGTGTGATCAAATGTTTCCATGATTTATGGGACTCGTGCATGTGTATCCTACTTTCAAAGGTCACACTGATCGTACATTATTGAATGGTAATTGAATTTTTGGTCAGCTCGAATAATTGGCCCTCTAGATACCTTCTCCTTCACTTTCCTTTCCAGTTATCATCATTGGTTTTATGCACTTTGTTCGGTAATTGCTTTGGACTATACACTTAAATGCATGATTGTACCTTATGTTCACATGCAAGAAACTTTAATCGATAACACATGGCAGTATTGTGGATCTGTCAATTCATATGTTTAATGTCATATTTATTTACATTATTTTCTGTTTTAATTGTATTTATGACATATTAGTCGATTCTATAAAAAAAAGATAAATATTAGTCAATTAAGTCTTATTGTATTTGTTTTATAACGTAATTCGAACATATTTAAATATATAATTATTTTTCAATTAGAGGTAATTTCATGATCGAAGAAAACTCCAAAATAAGCCCAGTTCTGGAAGAGAAGAAAAAGGGCCCCGGTTCTCCCTTCCAAAACAGGTCAAATTGGCATCCAATGAACTTGGAGTAAAAATCATATGAACTCAATACCACCGTAGTTGGTTGCAACCTAGCCCTTTATATAGTATTTCCCTATTTTGTTCTGGTTACCGGTGCTACATAACTTCAATTGAATGAAGGACAAAGCATGCAGCAGGCAACAGTTGAATAAAAAGTTGAGATCACCGTGAAGTTGGCTTATTCTGGCTTGCTTCTTTGAGTTGCTTTCACCGTTCATCGTTGAATCTTCGTGTTCCTTCTCCACCCTTTTGTTAATTTACTAATGGGAGAGTTAGGTGCCTTAGTCAACACCTTTTAAAGGCGTAAAAGCTAGCAGGATAAGATCATGGCCCTGTAGAGCTCATAGCAAAATATATAAAAGGACGTCCTTTGAATAACCTATTACTAGATAGCGACGAGTGATTTACTCGAAAGCCCGCCCCTCCCTTTTTTTCTCTCCCTTGGACCTTCCTTCTTCCTTTTCTCTCCACTTTTCATACGTTACTTTAAATTCTCTCTATTTCATTATCGTTGGCAGTATTCAATTAGATTAGTTGAGAAAGGTAAAGAGAGAAGAAAAACCATGGGATCTGAAGCAGAGGAGGAGTCGAGCTACATACCGAAGCTGCCGCTGCTATCAGTTTCACGTGCACAATTGCAGTCACCGGAGAGATCAGGGACGTTAACCCCACCATTTTACGTGTCAGCAGCCTCGGTCCCATTTGGCTGGGAAGAGGAACCGGGGAAGCCCAAATCGTGTACAACGCTCGCCACTTTTTCTTCTACCCCAAATGAGCCCGCTCAAAAGTGCCTGGAACTTCCTCCCAGGTTGTTGCTGGATGCCAAGGTCACTAAACTCTCCTCACCCACCACGGTCTTGGAAGGTCCTTACATGGGCAGGGCTAGGTTTCAGTCTTCTTCTTTCAGGATGGGAGGTGAGTGTTACGGATCGTTTCGTTCTGTTGCCAGTGATAGTCCTGAGATGCTGCAGCTTGGGACTCTGGTTCTTAGCAAAAGATGGTACAAAGAGAAAGGGTTTCTTGGTTCTTGGGGGAGAAAGGCCTTCAAGGCTAGACCTAGAAGAGAAGATTACGTGTTCGCATCTTCTGGGGAATACGGAGACGGTGAATGCAGCAGAGACAGAGGAGGAGGAGACGGCACTGGGAGCAACAGTGTTAATATCACTAGAATTACAAGAATTGGCAGCTCTCCCAGTCTTTCTCATTCCAAGTCCCACTTCTGGGTAAGTTTCTCTCTCTTCTTTTCATATTTTCACGTTTCAGTACTCTTCAAGTCTAAGGGTTGTGCTGTTATGCCACTTTTATAGTTTTCGTCAATCAGTACTCAATCACACACCATTCACTTAAATTTTATACAGAAATTAACAGGCCTGGGATAAATTGGGTTTCTGATCAATCAAATTCTCCTTCGAACATTTACTTAAAACTTCAGTATTGAATTCACTATAATGTGCCACTTCAGTAAGCTTTTATCCACCCTGTCCTCTGTTTTAATTCTTGTTCTACAGCATTCAATAAAGTTGTTTGATTTGTGGTTTGGGTATGACAGGGAAGTATATACGAAGGTTTGACGCAAGTGGTTCCATGGAGTAAAAGAGAAAAGAAGGATAAATTTAAGGGGTGACTTTTATCTGTATTTGCACCCCTACGATATGAGTACAAACAGTTTATTAAATTACCTGCACTTAAAGGCCAGGTTGCTGTCTTCCAATCCGCTTGAGGCAGTTGATACTTTGCCGTAAGTGGAAATGTGTAATCAAAGCCCATTACTGTTTTGTTTCATCTCTCTTGTTGTGGGGCTGGGGGATGTTTTGAGCTAACGGTATATAATATTGGATGCGTCTATGCCGTGACTGCAATCTTTTACTCGTTTGGATGTAAATCGAAGTTAGGGTTTGCACAAAACAGAATATGCAGGCTGATATGTTGCAGCAATAAATGTATTTGTAGGCCATCGTTATCATACCCTACGCAGTCGGAAGTCAGAACTTTTGTATTTATGTGAACTTTATGACTTAGCTCTTTCCAATATTTATCATTTACCAAGTACCACTAGTTGTAGTTTGTTCTAATCTAATCATTAACTTCTTTATCTATATTTATGACGAGGGCAGCTCAACAGAAGAAGCACTAAAATAGCAATTTGGGTTTTCTGAGGGCAACTCTAGGGCTGTAAACGAATCGAACGCACACGAACGGAGGTATGTTTATGTTCGTTCATTTAATAAATAAACGAACATATACGAACATGAACATAAACGAACAAAATTTTTTTTGTTCATATTCGTTTATTAAGGAATATAACTTGTTCATGTTCGTTCATTTAATAAATAAACGAATATAAATGAACACGAACATAAACGAACACGAACATAAACGAACATAAACGTTAGAAACCCTACCTTCCATTGTTCTTTTATGAAAAATAGTCGACAATGCAAATCAGCTAAATCTACAGTGATAAATAGCGTAAGAGCTGATTAGCAGTGATGAAATGTTTGAAGATATCAAATATTTTGATCGATCTTTTAAAGATATTAAATGATTCACACAATTTTAATTTAACGATATAACATTTATCTTAGTGGTCCATGATTACATATGAACAATCATTTTCCACTACGTTATTCTAATAAATTCGCCGGCTAAAAGTTTTGTGACATCAATGTCAGACTTTAGTGAGGTTTGTTAATAATGGTCATTTCCGTTGGCAGAGTAGAAAATTTAACAGCATGAAGATTTCGAACGGTACAAATTGGACTACAAGGCAATAACATAGATCCGAAATCCCTTCGATGCTACATATCGTAACTGATATTATTGCTAAATCACCATTCAAAATTTTAACGTACCTAAAGTCTACTCCACAACTAAATATCACACAAAAACTATGAAAACAAAAGTTCATTGACAAAGTGTATTTTCTACTTATTAATGGGTTCTTCCTGAAAAACTCATTACTTCCGCTATTACACTCTTTTGCATAAATTACATAGAAACCTTTGTTTTATTTTCTGAAAAATTCTATATATTTTTCTCTTTACTGATGCTCATATACTTCTAATTGTTACCTTTATCTTTCCATCTATTTCTAGAAAGAAGTATAATGTTTTCTTGAGTTTTAGATGTGAAGATACCAGCAATAACTTTACATATAAACTATTAAGCCAAATAAAACAGAGAAAGAGATGAAAGCATACCTGTAAAACTTCAGTTTGCACTATAATATAACTTGTTTTGAAGCTTTCAGCGATCGTCTCCACTCTCTAGTGAACACTAGGGTTTGGGAAAAAAAGGGGGGAAATGAATATATGTGTGAGGTGTCTCATGAGTTAACATATTGGATTTAATATCCAAATAAAATTGGGTTAATTATGGAATTGGTCATCAAAATATCAGATTAATTAATATTTTTAAGATACATACAAATTGGTCACCAAAATTGATTTAAGAAGATTGGGTTAAACATAAATGAATGAACATAAGCGAACATAACCGAACGAACATAAACGAACATAACCGAATGAACATAACCGAACGTTCACGAACGTAAATGAACGAACGAGACCTATGTTCATGTTCGTTCATTTAATTAAACGAACACAAAATCTTGTTCATGTTCGTTCATTTAATAAATAAACACACATAAACGAACTTCCCGCCGCACGGTTCATGAACGGTTCGCTGAACGTTCAGTTCATTTACAGGCCTAGGCAACTCCAACAGCCAAAGCAGGGTTTTAGTTAGGGGGATAACTTAGCGAAGTTGAGTAATGTTCGACTCATATTTGTGAAAAAATTTATTGTTTAACTCGACTCGTTATTCATTAAAATTTTACTCTACTAGTGCTCTTTAAGAAAATTTATAACTCGACTTGTTGCTCGTTAAACTTGTTAAATTCATTGCTCACCTTATTGCTCGTTAAGCTCATTTAATTTAACCAAAAGAAATCTCAAAAGAGTATCAAACAAATTCAAAATCTAAACACCAAAACAACAATCTATAAATACATTAAAATAATAATTAGGATGATTTTTGGGTGTAATAAAATAATAATTATTAATTAATGATTTAATATTTTTGATTATTTATTCTAAAATTAATCAATTAATAATTTATCATCTTTTTTTATTATCTATTAGTAAATTAATAATTTTTTGAATGAAATAATTTTTTAAGATAACTACTAAACTGTTATAAAAAATTTAACAAGTTGCTTGCGAACTTATCGAGTCGAGTTGATTTTGCTCGACTCAGCTCGTTAAAGTCTCGAGTCGAGTCGAATTCGAGTTGCTCACGAGCAGCTCAACTCATTAAACACCCCAAGTTTTGGTGCATCCTTCCAGGCAACCAGCATTCTCTATAACAATGTTCTCAAGCTACTCTATTGTTCACCATACTAGAGCCAAACAAGAGGTACGGAGGAAGCATATTAACCAAAGAAAAAACATTAATCGAAGGGAAACAATATTCAACTCGAATATGAATTATCCATGCTTTGAGCAATCCTCAACCATTGAAACTCAAAACAAAATAACATTCAAATTCTCGTGTTTAAAATTCTCGTGCTAAACACGAGGTTGAAGGCACAAGTCACTCTTTTAAGAGTTCAACTTAAAAAGGGAGGCTTATTTTGTTGCTGATTACATTACTCGCTACATTTGAATTGTTTGTTTCTTTCCAATCCATAAATTAAATCAACCCTGCTTTTTACCAGTCACGCCTGCAACCACCTGCACAATGGAAGCAAGCACATCCGTGTATTAAAAGCAAAAAAAAAAAAGACAGAACACTGGTATAACTAAGGCTAGAAATTGTCATCTGGGAGTACTCATATCTCCTCTTAGCATAAGCAAGTCTTTGGATGATAAACTAAAAAGAATTTTTAAGAGCATACAAATGATGTTAAGTAGCTGGTCTAGCTCATAGGCGTGGCAACCTCCAACAAGCAAATTTTGCCAGTTTATTATTTTCTCAAAGAGATGCAACAAGAGAAAGAAGCACAAGACGGGTAATAAAAGAGTAAAATAAGCCTGACCTCATCCTATATGCAAAGAACTACAATAACCAAATTTAAGCCGTGGTTATTATTGTCTTTTCTCCATGATACCAATCACTTCTTATAACTATTTGAGTAAGGCATATCTCTTTAGTGCCAGCTAGAATGAGGTGTTCTCAGTTGTACAAGGGTGTCAATGACAAAACCCTGACTAAAACCATTGTCATTACTTATTCAAATTATCCACCATTCAAAAATAGTCTTAAAAACCTGCAGCCAGGGATGAGAAGTTTCCATGCCAAAGAAAATATTACCCTCCCAAACTAGGATCACAGTTAATAATACCCTTCTATGACACACTGGAAAACAATCTCAAAATTTCTTAAAAAAATTGTAAAGACTTCAAAAAGGATCCATATTGCTAAGTGCTAAACTTACATTTTTTAATGCAGGCTGAGAGACTTGCTTTGACGATTCAAAGGAATCTAGAATGGGCCTTACAACAGCTGGTAGGAAGAGACCTGCATATTTTCTTAGAGAATCGTGAGCAAAGAGGGGGTGCTGCAATCTCCATGGTCTACACAAGTTACAGAAACAAGTGGAAATTCAAACGCTAACTTAATACTAATAGAACAAAGACAAAGGAATGATGTCACATAATATTATTTCTCTCTTCATATAGATTCAGGCTAGCAACTCTAAAAACGTCCAAGTCTCGACTATTGCTTCCCCAGAAACCACCTTTAGAATTACCACCATTCTTTTGATTATGAGACATTATTACTTCAATCACATTGGTATCAAACATAGAATATACCCACTTCATACATCATTTCGGATTTAGAATCCTGTCTCATTGACATCTACGTACAGACCATGCAATGGATCATAACTTACAATCTGAGTTTCAGAAATTCCAGCAGAGTTTGCTATGTCATCTTCAAAAGGTCGTAAATTTATAGGAAAAAATAATACATTGTCCAAAACATTTCCTGAAAAAGAAATATGAAGAATTTAAATCTGATTCATCTTCAGCTACACCAGGGATTGTGACCAGATAATAACCAACTACCCATCAATAATGAAACCGAAAATTGAAAGAATCCACCGTAATAAATTTCAGCTAATTAAAAACTGGATTAAAAGCCTAGACAATCAGAAGAAGAAGAAAAAAAACCAAAAAACCCTAAGTTTTCCTCTAATTCAAATACTTGATAACCGAACAAAAAAACATTAGGGATCAATAATCAAAGACAGACAAAGAATAATAAAAAGGGTGATTGATTAGATTAAAGAAAGGAAGAAAATTCACCAAAACCAGCGATAGCGCAAGAAGCGGCGACAACTGGCTCTTGCACCACGAACATTTTCAACTTCTCCATCACCGGCATCTCTAACCGATTTTTTCCCTGCTTTCACTGAATTCTTCTGTGAATGTTCTACGATGAATGCAGCAGATAAATCCAGACGATCCCCCTCTTTTATGAAATTAAAATCGGGAAATTTCGGTACGGAAAGAAATCGAATATGATTTTTTTTTATATATTTATTTCCATAAAAGGCCCCTAATAGCTTCTGAAAGACGTTCAATCCAAAGTTAGTCGGGCTGGAATTTTCAGTGTTTAAGGAGGGTAAAAATAGGGTCCGAATGTGTACCCAAAAAAAAAAAAAAATAGGGTCCGAATATTTGCACGTGTTCAATTAGGGTCCGATGTGTCATTTACCTTAATTAGTAAAGATAAAAGGTTCATGAGTAAATTTTATATTTATCTATGATAATAAGATTGTGTAAAATGTTTTAATTTTTTAAATTGATAAATATTGAAATTATATAAAATTTAGATATATATGTAATACAATGTCAATATAATTTTAATAATTTGTAAAAAGATTGAATTAAATTAAATCACTATATATAGTTGAATACTGAAATTTAGGGTATCATATATAAATAATCCCCCTAATTTTTAGAATATTTTCATTTTGATCACCTAACTTTTAAAATTTGCAATATAATAATCCAACTCTCAGTTCATTTTCAGTAAAGTCTATGTCATTATCTCCTGTTAATTTTTGCTAACGTAACACTTAACTCCGTTAAGTCCCATCATCTTCTTCTTCTCAAGTCGTGCCATCGCCGTTCACCCTACCTCCGGTCAGCGATGGCTCACACCGTCATCACCATCTCCCGATCACACCCTGGCCCTTTATTCATACTCATTGTTGAACAGTTGAATGAGTGATTTGTGATTATTTCGAAAATTGAGCTGCATATTGTACACTGAGTATATGTTCGACACAATTTTCGTATGGATTATATAGATAAATATATTAGATACAATTTTGACCCGGGACAGTTTCACCCAATATATCTACAACAGCAATCGCATCATTAATGGACCCGAAACACACTACACAAAACAAAGAAACACAAAAGAGAGAAAAACAACTACAGCATACATACAACATGCAGGGCCTAAAATCAAGTCGAAAAGAACTCGACATACTCATGGAAAGCAGATATTATCCTAGTAGCCAACCATTCTTCTGTCACTAAACAATTTTTAGTGACATCTAGGGGATTAGATGAACTCTCTGGTCGTCTAGAAAGGTAGCATCCACCCCACGGTCCATCCCAACAGCAAACCAGCTCCAGCAAGACCGAGTCCCAATGCAATAGCAACAGCATACTTGGTTATGTCCGGGCTAGACCGGCCACGCTTCCCTCGTCTCTCTTTTCCATTCTTTTGCCGGCCCTTCCGCATTTTCTGGCTTTTGTAGGGTGTCCACGGAAGGACTAGAGGCTGCTCCTTATTCTTGATCTGGACATGAAGGGCTTCCAGCTGCAGGATTTGGAACCATTGTTTATAGGCAAAGAGTTGCGAGGCTTGTTTGAAGACAAGCCTGATAACATGTTCCTTCTCTGCATAGGCTTGCTTTGCTGCTTTCTCAGCTTCCCTTGCTCGTGTTTGGGAGTGACAAAGTGCTTCTAGCAGCTGTGCCTTGGTAGGATCGGACTCCGTAACTTGATCTAAGATATCCTTTTCGGTTGTACTCGTACTATAAGAATGCAGTAAAAAAAGTTCAACAGACAGAGATAAATAGATGTACCTTCAATTATTGATTGTCTAGAAATGTAAAGCAAACGATGCTCATCTAAGAAGCCATTTTGGACTTTTTTTTCCCTATCCATTCAGAGAATTAATCAAGGGATCGAATGAAATGAATACCTGGACGATGTATTGGAAGCACATTGCATCTTCCCTTCTCCAATTGAAGACATCTGTGTTTCGTGTTTTCTTATAGAATCAGGAGACATCTGTGCATTAATGGTGGAACTGCGATTAAGGACAGTTTGGGGCTTCCAAGCCAAAGATATTTCACAGCTGTCGAATGAACCAGAACATGTAGGTGAGCACTTCCTTACATTCACATTCCGAGGTAGGGGGAGATCACAATTCTCGATAAAATCCAATGACTTTTGTGCAACCAAGGAGGCCAGCTCGTCTTTATCTGTCGTGCGCCACCATGGCTCGGCCTTCTCATGGCCAGACCAAGGAGACTCTGGTTCATAACAGAAGTCGTTTGTTTTCATGGAAGCATGGCATTCGGCAGATTCCATATCCAAAAATTCCCAGTTCTCCGTTGTCTGCGTTGAATCAAGAGAAATATCATGTGAATCCTGCTGATGAACTTTACTTACTTTGGAGGGGAGTTTATTTCAGCTTTCAAGCTTTCCACTTCATCCTCCAAGGCATTCAACTGATCATCTGTTAAACTTAACCCCATTCTGGGACCATAGCTAGGCTGCAGCTGAAGCCACCACCTCGTATCAGGTGGTAGATTGGAATAGGAAGGGTTCCTGTTGAGAGGCATGGAATCTGTTTCAGTGTGATGATTCGTATCTGTTGCACCGGTGGGGCTTGAATCGGCCTGTTTAGTGGAAGACGATGATTGGCAGCAAGCTAACTTGGGAGCTCTTTTGGCATCTTCTTGGACAAAGAAACGATTAGCTGTTCGTTGCCAGACAGCCCTTGCTTCAGCTGCTGCCATTACTCACCTTCCCTGCTACACATTTAGCTGTTGAAAATAACTACTTGTTAGAAATTATATTATTAAGCTGTTCTCACCTTCTGCTTCGGCAAAATCAGTGATTTACAAAATCACCAGCCAACTAAACACGCTCAAGACCTTAAAGCTTAAAGCTCGATCAATGATTACTAAACAAACACCAGAAGGCCCAAAGTTCTTGTCCCCGAAAGAACTACACAAAAGTTCATCCACCATACAGACTTCGCAATCTGAACAAATTGGCGAACTTGAAACAGAGAAGTGAAAGGGGAACTGGCAAATTCAAAGCAAGATCCCAAAACAAATTGAAAACACAAGAACCATATATCTAGAAAAAAGAAGCAAGGCAATACAACTTGTCGTAAATGATCTATTTGGAAGCAAAATCCAGAATAAGAGTTGATGAAACATCAAAAGTAGATTTAACCCCACTATCATTCATGAGATCACCCAAAACACAAAAACAAAAGATAGCGGGTCAAAAGATTGCATAAAGATGCAATGTAAATTCCAAACTCCCAACTAATACCCCCACACCAATGAACTCCATGTACAAAAACCGTCATCAGATCGGAAAGTTAGAATAAAAAAAAACATAATTCAAGAAGGGCAACCACAAAAGTCTTACATAGAAAATAAGATTAACGGTGCACGCAACAAGGTTGAATAATACAGCATAATTCAACAAACAAAACATACCCAATAAGGAAAAAAAGAAAAAAAAAGTAAATAAGAGAAAGAACACAAACCCAGAAAGAAGAAAGATTGAAAAGAGATGGGTAAGTGGCAACTGCATAGATCTAGTTCAGAAGTAACAGAAATGGATCTTGGCCAAAAGAGAAGCTGAAAAAAACCGCTTGATTTCAATGGATAAGAAGGATACAAGAGCAATACAGGACAAGACAATCTTGTAGAATTTTTTTTGGGTTATTTTGTCGGGCTCTATCAGTCTGTAAGGGTGCGAGCCGAGTCGAGTTCGAGTATTACTGAGCTTGATTCGATTCGAAAATTTTGAAATGAAGTTCGACTAGACTTGAAAACTCGCGAGCTTAAAATTTTCAAGCTCGATTCGAACTCGAAATCCTAAACTGAAGCTCGTGAGCAGCTCGAAAAGGCTCGAAATGAAAAAAAATTATTAAACTTAACTCGATTGAAGCATCAAACTCAAACTCGAACATGAACCTTAAATACAAGAAATCTTACTGTATTTTTTTTATAAAAAATCAATACATAAATATTAATATTATTAATAATTTATTTATAAAAAAATAAAATCTTAATATATTATATTTTCGAGCTGCTCACGAGCTTTTCGAGTCGAATATCGAGTAGCTCGTTTCGGCTAGTTAAGAACTCGAGTCGAGCTCGAGTCGAGTCCATTCGATCCGAATATTTATCGAACTTTGATCGAATCAATCTCGAGTAACTCACGATCTGTCTCGTCTCATTTACAGCCCTAATCAATCTATTGTTTTCGGTTTATTAGAATATTAAGTACCTGTCTGGTTTTCTGCGCAAACTTGTTTTCCTCTTACGAGGAGTGTGAGATTAAACGACATCGTTTCCCATCCAGACATTAACGTGTCACTTCAGTAGAGTCTTGACAGTTGATCGTGTTACACGTGGGAGTTGATTACGATATCACGTAGAGGGAGTTGGCAGTGGGTCCCAATCAAAAGATTAGATCTCGTATCTTGATAATATTCAGGGTAACATTAATATGAAGAAACTTAAATATTCATTTATTATGAAATGTCATTACAGAAAATTAAAGTTTTATAAGTAAGATTAAAAAATTAGACATACTTTCTGAAGATAATATAACAAAAAATTAAGAAATATGATTTATAATTTATTTTTTGAAAATTTCCCATCAAACGTACTTGGAAGCACACCAGAAAAAACCAGCAGCAATTAATGGTTTCATTGTAATAAATAGGGTTAATTATATAATAAGTGTCTAAATTATACTACTTTTTTCAAATAGGTACTCAAACTTTTTTTTGAATCATCTATGTGCCTAACGCTACAAATGTTATCACTTTAGGTGTTTGGACCGTAACAACTGCTAAAGAACACGTGTCATGTTCTGATAATTTAAAAAGTTTTATTTAAAATTAAAAAAATTAAAATTGTATTTATAAAAAACACAAAAAATTCGAAACACTTTCAAGAAGCCCTAAAACTTTTAAAAACCTTCATTTCATTCCCTAAACTGATAAACTCACTTCGACCGCTGTCCTTTGTCATCGACGAAGCTCCACCCGACCTCACCTCCACCCGACGATCAATAACCCTATGAAATCACGACCAATCGACGTGTGTACCAAGACGAACCATACGCTGCAAATCATCACCCATGTGATCTCGGCAACCAATCTGTGGCAAGTATAACGACGTATGACTAGGAAGATGGCATGAACTACGTGAGTGACGATGGTTGTGACCGGCAAGAACAACGTCGATTGGTTAGGATTAGGGATTTAGGATATTTAGTGATTTGATTTTTTTGTAATTTGAGAGAAATTAAGATTTTTTTTATAAATATAATAATATTTTTAATTTTTTAAAATTATTAGAAACGAAACATGTGTCACTTAATAGCAATTACAACTCAGACACTTAAAGTGATAATATTTGTAACATTAAACATCTGAATGATTCAAAAAATAGATTCGAGCTACTATTTAAAAAAAATATAATTTGAACACTTATTTTATAATTAAACTTAATAAATACCAAGAATATTTAAAACGGGAAAAAAAACGTAGACATAAGTAGACGGTTTTGAAGTAAACAATGGTACTGCCCACTGGTTTTCAAGGTTTCTAAACTTATTACATGTGTACGATTTACGAAATGGCCATGATTAAAATTTAAAATTAAGGGGTGATTTGAGAATGTTAATTATTATTGGCTTAGAGTTATATTTAAAATATAAAATTATTCCAAAACAACTTATTTTCAATAATAAATTCACGTTGAATCGTTATTATCGACTCAAATTAAGAAATTGAAAAAAATAATACTTTTTAAGTGAAAAAGATTACATTCCTAAACGAAGCTGGTAACGCAAAGCTATATTGGTTTGTTATTGTTCCTGCCAAAAGCTTGAAATCGAATGTAATTCTAATAAAGTCTAATTTCAACAACATAATTCAAATGGTCTTTGTTCTTTTTTCATAAAGAGTAATATTTTGATACCATAAACTAAATCTAAAAATTATATAATTCTGATTACTTGTTTGAATTCTAAAATTTAAAATACAAAATCTAAAACCGAATCTAAAAATCTTTAAATCCTAAATTCTAAATAAAGACGCAAGACGTTAAACCAGACATGTCTGTGTACACAAGCCTATATACTTTACTGTTATATATACTATCTAGATTTAGAGTTTTAGATTTTATACTTTAAAATTTAGAATTTAAGGTCAACGTTTTGAGCTCTCATGGAACTCTTCTGAGTATATAAATATCATCACATTGAAATAGTTCCTCGTGTTCAAGTACATTTACAAGAACCAGACTTTTTTTTTCCACATATATGTATATACTGCAAAAGCACAACAAAATCCATTCAAGGTATCAAATGAATTTGAGAAAACCCAAAGCCGAGCTTCCACAGAGAAAACAGGGTGGGACATATACAACACCGAAACCTAGAAAGCTTTCGGCTCTCCTTCTTTCTCGTTCGCAGTATAAAAATCAGTGGAAGAGAGATTGGATATCATTTGCAGACAGTTTTTTCTTTCTCTTTCCCTGATGATTCTGGTTTTCATTGGCCAGAGTTCAATACTGGTGTGAGCAAAATGACGGTGATGCCAAGTGCAGGATATCAAAGGAAACGAGCTCATAATATCAAATTTACTATTCTGAAAGAACACAGGACAAACTTCGAGCTTGCATTATGAACAAATTTCTTGGAATATACAACTCTTTTCACCTCAACATCTTTTGGACTCGGATAAATTTCATTTTAGTTCCATTGTCCCATGCCGTTAATCATTGAGTTGAACCAGTTTTACAGACCCATCTCCACCACATGAAAGAAAACCATGTGACACAACTTGGATATCAGTAATAGCAGCCTGTGACAATTAAGCAAACTATTGCATCAGCGCAAATTCAAATCTTGCATTAAAAAAAAACTCTTTTAACATTAGAAAAAAATCTGTCAATAAACGTGAGAAAATTGGATATGAAGATTCAAACATGGCTATAATAACAAATAATTACCCGCACAACACCACCAAAACCACGAGAACTTGGTTGCAAAAAGGTGTGCCTTTCATGCAATTTTGACCAATGATGAACCAGTCTGGCTGCTTTGGCATCCCAAAGTTTAACATCTCCATCTTTGCTTCCCGTTAAGAATAAGCTGGTATGTGGGATGGTGGATATTTTGGTGATACTACCTTCACTCGTACCATTTGATAAAATATTAGATTACATTAAAATCAAATCATGCATAAGAAGCTCTTACTTGGGGACAATAAGAAAAGTGTGTACCTAAGTGAGCCTTTGGTATGTACCAAAGCATCCCACCGTGATTCTGGTCCTGTTGTTGTTTACTGTTTCCTGCCTTCATGTTTGCATTAGAAGAGGAGTTGACGCTTGTTTCAACATCATGATGCCTATGCCTTTTAGTCTTCCCAGTAGCTATGAATCTGAAGTCATGAAGCCCAACATCACCATTTTTACCACCAGTTACTATTAGGGGAGAAACAGAACCACTTCCGATGTCATTGTCGAACACTGCAATGGAGCGGGCATCACCTGCAAAATGGAGAAGCAATAGATAGCTATCATAATAGATTGAAGTGATCAAGTAAATGCAAAAAGCACTCGGGTAGTAAACTAATTAGGACTAAACAATCAGTACAATTAAAACAATGTAATTACTATGCTGAGTACGAAACAATCAATATAATCAGTTTGAATACAAAATAAAAAAGCAGAGGTTATAACAATGTAGCACATTTATAATTATAAGTTACTACGCTGAACTGTCAGAATCAGAGTTAAATCAAATCAGAACTAAAAACTCTGCTCATGGAATTATAGTAAGACAGTCTTTTTGTGAGCTTCATGGAACTACTTTCATACGGGAGATCATGAAGGGGGGAACTAACCTTCATGGCAAACAACGGAAGCTCGAGAGGTTGCAGATGGAGCCAACGTATCCCATATAACCACGTTAACACCATTGGAACTACATCCAGCAGCAGCTATGATTGATCCACTTGAAGTAACATAAGTGACATCCCTGCAACAGAGAATATAACTTATAGATCACAACTAATGTAGAAGCCCACAGAAGGAGAACAGTATAAGATAATATTAAAAAGATGAAATATTTAAGAACATAAAGTGACAATATCGGGGAAACAAAATAGGAAGTTCAGAGTAGGAACTCAGGACTCAGCAAAATCACAAAGGGCCAGATAGTACAATCCTTGGATGGTGATAAATTAATCTCTCACACATACGCATGTTTCATTTCTGAAATACATGTTAAAGTAGGGACCGACAATGCTTCTTTAATCATTTAAAAGCAGAATACATACGATGCATAGTTATTAAAGCAGAGAGATGATTCTGTTGGACGGATATTGCTTCTGCCTCCCACCTCTAGCTGCCACGTGCAAACAGTTCCATCAAGTGCAGCAGTAACAAATCTGTGTCCATAATGGTCAAACTGCAAAGCTGATATTGAGGCAAGAGCATAAGGTGGAGCAACATTTGCAGCAGGCAACACTCCATAAGTTGCTGTTGCTTTATCCTTCCCGAACTGCAAGTATAAAATGATCCATAAGCTAAATGCCTTAAAAATTGACAAGAGATGGAAAATGAAGATTCAAGGAATGCAGTTTGACGGATGACTAACACACAAGTCCCATCTTACTAGCTCCATT